TCATGAGAATTAAAAATCTGCAGTCAAAAAACACTTTTTTGAGTCAGAAGCAAACACTTAAATGCAGAGTGGTGTATTTGAATTAAGTGGTGGTTGCACAGAAGGGTCAATTATTACATGGTTTTCGTAGTGGAACTGATAAATAAAGGCCAACATTTGAAATGAGATGCAAGTCCACACTCTATTTTTTGTCGTCAGACCAGGTGATCTCATAATCACCGAAGGCACTCTTCAGCTTCTCTGCAGATACAGAATGATCTGCTTTACCATATGCCTGCAAATGAATGAGAGAGCATGCACATTATTACATTCAAAGACTACTGAATATTTTTGTAGTATACTAAAGGTCCAGTGTGTAGGATTTAGGGGGATATATTGGCAGAAAATAAATATAATATTTTCTTTAGTGTATAATCACCTGAAAATAAGAATTGTTGTGTTTTTGTTAGCTTAGAATGAGCAGTTTATATCTATATAGGGAGCAGGTCCTGGTCTATGGAGTCCGCCATGCTGCACCACTGTGTTTCTACAGTAGCTTAGCAGAGACAAACCAAACACTGGCTCTGGATAGGGCAATTCGTGTTAATATAATGGCCCCTGTAATTAGCAACACATCTGTCACTAGCCAAACAGCTTTGGAAAAACTATTCTTTTTTTAACATGAAACTGCTTTATTCAGTTTTTTACCCATTAAAATCCCCACCCCAGATTCATTGGTTTTAGAGAGAAGGAGACCTCTAAGGATAATTCAACTCCCGGTGAAAAAAACAACAACTCCTTAACAATGAACACTGACGAAATCCTAGTCTTTTACTGGTCCTGTCTCAAGCCCATTTCCACAGAAAAGTACGGTACAGTTCAGCTCGGTTTGCTTTTATTCTGTTTCCACTGTAAAAAGTTGTGGATGGTACCAATGAAACCGTCCCGTACCATTACCATGTTTGGTCCCCCCTCTGTTGGGGTACCTAGCACACAGATCTGGTACTAAAAGGTGGAGCTGTGAACACTGCAGTCTGTTGATTGGTCAATAGAGGACGGTCACTCTGCTCAGGGCTGAGTTGTGGCTGGTTTTGAGGCTCATGTCACCACTGTTCATACCGTGGAGAGTTTTATTAGTAAACTGTAACTATAAAATGAAAGGATGTTTTGCTGCCTCTTGCAGCAGCTGTAGGCTGAGAAAAAATAACTTAATTCACTGAGACTTTTACGGTGGAATGTTAACTTGTAATGTTACTCAGTGCATGAGGTGATGACATGAATCCATCAACACACCTCTAATTTCACTATTACCACTTTTTATTATCACTTTAGTTTTTATATGACACATACTTTTAGCAATAAGTGGATCTTCAAGCCTTTATCAATTTCAACCAGGTTATGTGAGCTGCATATATATCAGTCCTCACTAGGAAAAAACAAAAAGCATCGTGGAGTGTCATTCCTGTGGACTCCGGCAACACTAAACCCCTGAGCTTGCCTTTGAAGGACTATATGCACAAAACTAATTTTCAAATATCCCATGGAGAGAGACTCTCACTGCAGCCTGTTCTATCTTGTTCTGAAAACATCGGCGTGCAGACTCGTTCTGTGGACGATAAATGAGATGCAGACTTCCATCTGTGTCAGCGGTGATGAGGAAATACAGTGAGTGCTGGACAGAGCAGTGAATGACAACAAACCCGCCCACATTTAAGGGTGCTGTGGAAACGCTAGGGTCTAGGTACCATGTCTGAAGGGTTACTTTTGGTTCCAAAGGTACCATACTGAAAGTGTTTGGTGGAAACAGGGCTTTAACGCAATCTGCAGTCCTCACTGCTGGGTGCCACTAAATCCCACACACTGCTCCTTTAATGCTTTTCCAATAAAATTAACTTACAGTTGATTCTCCAAACACCCTTAGTTTTTTCTCTTGGCTGTTGTGCTCTATCTTCCCTCCACCAAGGCATTTGCACTCCATCCCCAAGGCCTCCATAGCAGGATTGACCTTGTCAAATATATGATCTGCAAATAATTGAAATCATTCCATCAGTGAAAAAATACAGTCTGGTTTAGTTACATTAAAATAAAATAAGCAGCAGTTTAAAGCATGTTATTGTTGACTTCTGTATTTGTTAGCAAGCATTGCATCTGTAGGTCTGTGCAGCTTTTATGCACACTGCACGTTTACAGTGTGCAAAGCAGGAACATGGGACAAGTAGGTCAGCTCAATCTGCAGCACTAATACAGGTCTTGGTTTGCATGTTGTCTCGAGTTTAACTTGGCACATTTGACGCTTCTCTGCAGTAAACTACAGTCAACAACTTACTGTGATACTCTGCGCTTTTTGTGCCACGGACTATGTCTGTATGCGCATCGCCATCTTTCACTTTCACTCTGACCAGTATGTATTTGAATGTTCCCTCTGGATCAATCTCCACAATGGGGATTTTCGCCAGAGCGTCTGCCATTGCGACTGTAGCCTTAGTCAGGGCACCGGAGACTCTCAAACTGCACAGAGGTCTACCGACAACAGACAACATGGTGCGCTCTCACAAATGTCTTTATTTAGAGTGGGACTATTTCCTGTCTTAAAGAGACAGACAACCTGCAACCTGTCAGTACTGTACATGATTACGCACGCTGGAGACCCCATATGGCGATAAGGGGGAACTGTTTCAGTTAACAGCTCTCAAAACCCAAAGCCAGTTTACTATAAAATGGCATCAGTCCACTGCATCTTATATTTACCAACCCAGTTATATCAAAGGGAAGAGATGAGCAATGTGTCTAACGTTGGCAAGCTCATTTTTCCACCCTTTTTCTTTTATCTGTGTGGTTGATTTGTTATTTCCTGTAACCAGAGAAGATTTTCCACTGGTGTCTATCAGAAGGGTCAGAGTTGAAGCTGGTAGTGATGTAGTTGTTGGTTCAGGACCAGTTCCGCAGAAAGAAGGATGGATGCTTCTGCCAGAAGTGCTTGAACTTCTGGTTGCCAGTCGGCCTCTTTCATCAGTAATCCGTCCTGCAGCCTTTCATTGGGGCCAAAAAACTGAGAAGTTCATGAGATACACACAAACCTCTCCTTTCCTGCTCTATCAGGCCAAATTAGGCAGAGCTGACAGTTGATTTTCTATGTGTTATATGATGAATGCAGTAGGTGTATCATCATTTCGTAGCAGTCTTTAACAGTAATGTCACAGCTGTGGTAATGCTCATATTATGTATGTTTTTATTGCATGATTATTTGCAAGAATAGAGCTGTGGTGAGATCCTAATCATGATCCGAGCACAAATCTGTATCAGCATCTGTTTAGGATATTCTTATCAAAGCTGAAACTGAGTCTCTCCTTTGGGTCTTATTCTGTACAAGTTAATTAAGAAGTTTATATTATCTTTCAAGGGAGAGGGTGGAGGTTTAGAGGTGTCAAGCAACAGTGGCTACTATCCACAGCCGCGGGTCAGAGAGGAAGGATATGAACTGTCACTTCTGGAAACACAGGCAGCCTGCAGGCGCCTCTGCTGCTGCTCCACACACTTCCCGTCTCTGGACACTCATTAAAAATGTTTGTTTGCCGCCATTGCATTTGATTTGTTTTCCGCTTTCTTCTTTTGATGAGCAAATCCTTTGACATCCTTTTAGCTATTCCAGTCAATGTATTGTCTGTGGGCACATTCTGGGCTACTGCCAACAGGACTCCACCGGATTGAATCATCATGCACACTCACGAAACTTACGCTTTTCTTTGCTTTCATTTGGTGGCAAAGATTTAAATGATTGATATTGAAATAAAAGCAAACAGTGGGAATTTCTTTGGCACTCTCAGACACTCTAATTAGCTCACAGGATTTTACAGCTTCCAAGACTGCAGTTTCCTTTGCAGTCGCCTTTCACTTTAGCATGAGGGCTGTGTTATCGGGCATTCCCCAGGAAACTTATCACTTTCTTCATGCTTTTTATTTTGTCGTCACTTCTGTACATGTTTGTTAGATTGGCACGTTCTCAGGCACATTAGTAGGCTACATTACAATACAATAGTGCTTTTTATCCTCACATCTAACTGGGCAACCAGAGTTATTGATTTTAGAGCAGTGGAAACACAAACCAAGATGTTTTTCTAAGTTTTATTTTTCTTTTTATCGATTTTGAGAAAGTTTGTTTTGTGATAATAAACTTACTGTTTATTTGAATGGAGTCTGGTGGGTTTGGTGATAGCAGTATCAACTGTTTCTGGTTGAACAAAGTGGGATCTCACTCTTTCATAAAAAGGTCAACCTCTGTATTGATATTTTCCATAATGTTGTCAGACAACAATCTGAGTCTGTCAGTGGCAAAAACAAGCACTTTTAGTGGACATATATTGACAGTGCGTATTGGCCCCAGTGGGTGCATTGGAGCCTGTTTTGCAGCTTCCTGCTGCAGCTGTCATACTTAATACTGGGCAATGTTGAAACATGTTGTTCCCATTAGTCACTTAGACACAGAACAGGGGACAATAGGGCACAGGCTGGAAAATGCTGAAGTCACCCTTTAAGTAAAAGTGTTTAATACTCCATGACAAGTGCAAATACTGCTTTAGGAATTGTAATCAAGTCAAAATGCATCATGTGTTTTGGATGAACATTTAAATCTTAAGAATATCAAACAACTGTAGAAGTCAAATAAATGTAGTATAAAAAGTAAAAAAAAGAAGTAAAAAGTAAAAAAGTTTTTTAAAAAAACCCAATAATTTTCCTTTGAAATGTAGTGGAGTAGAAATATAAAGTAGAATAAAATACTCAAGTAAAGTAGAAATAAAACCCTGTTATTAAATGGAACACCACTCTTCTGTGACAATAATATTGATTTTGGCTCCTAAAACAAAGGAGAGTGGAAAAGAGTCAGAAGCAGAGAGGGAAAGTTTCCAAGGATTCTGGTGGGATGGGGGCCATAGGTGGGGTGAGGGGGATTTCCACTGAAAAAGCCCACTTGTGATGAGAGTTTCCTGGAAATGCAGACTGGCCCTGTACAGCATATAAAAGCCGGCTCCTCAGCACATCAAGCTCAGAGTGATCACCTCCTCAGAAGAGTTGAGACCAAAGACATACTAAGAGTCCACTGCAGGTTATTACACATACCAGTTAAAATGGTAAGTATAGAGGTAATAATTTAAACACAGTTCTCTTAGTCAGTGATGCATTTATGATATCACTAATTGATCGCTTTTTACTTTACTTTACAGGAGTTCTTTTTTGGATTACTTCAGACCCGTGGATCTAAGACCTCATGGATCAGCTTGACCTTTCTATGCTCAAGTATGTAAATCTAATGCAGACTGAATCTTTAGCGTCCAATTTTTGACTTCACTTTTCTTCTGTGTATTACTTTTTCAAATGAATCCACATTACCTTACAACCTAATGTGTTGTCTCTGCCCTCCATCCTCAGTGGTGTGCATGTGGACGACAGTAGATGGCTGGTCCTACTTCTACTCTGACAACACCATGAACTGGCAGCAAGCTAGAGACTGGTGCCGGGAGCACTACACAGATATGGTGGCCATCCAGAACCAGGAGGAGATCAAGCATCTCGGTAGCTGGCTGCCCAAGAAACCCACCTACTACTGGATTGGGATCCGCAAGATCAATGATGTCTGGACCTGGGTAGGAACAAACAAGGCTCTGACAGCAGAAGCAACCAACTGGGCAATTGGTGAACCAAACAACGGCAAGAATGGACACAATACAGGGTTGAATGAGGACTGCGTGGAGATGTACATTAAAAGGAGTGCACAAGCCGGCAAATGGAATGATGAGCGGTGCGGGAAGCTGAAGACCGCTCTGTGCTACGCAGGTGAGCAAGAGTTAGGATGCAAGAGCTGCTCATTTTAACTGCCTTGGTTTTGTTCATTATTAGGGAATCTATTGATTTAGCTGTTTTAAATTATTATGTTTTAAAATTAAAAACTCAGATAAATAGTTCTATTTTATGCAAGCTATATAAAAATACTTCTTCTTCCTCCAGCTGCCTGTAAGAACGACTCATGCCTCTACGGAGAGTGTGTGGAAACCATCAACAGCCACAAGTGTGAGTGCTTTGAAGGCTTTTATGGAGAGCAGTGTGAGCAAGGTAAGAAAACACTACTTTAAAAGTTTTAAAGTTTAAGTCACTTTCAGCCAGGATCTCATATCTGATTGTGTTTTGCTTTCTTTGTTGGCAGTTGTTAAGTGTAACGAATATGAAGTGACCATTCCGAATAAAGGAAGTGTAGAATGCACTCACAAGTACGGAGACTTCTCCTACGATTCCTCGTGCCAGTACGCCTGTGAGGAAGGATACCAGCTGAGTATGTCAAGACCTCTGATATGCACTGCCTCCAAACAGTGGTCAGAGCAGCCTCCTACATGTGAATGTGAGTATCACAAAGCTACCAAAAAAAGTAAATGAAGTAGTGTGATACTGACCAATGTTATTGTGATCTCAAGTAATCATATTCGAAGCAACAGAGTTTTATTATCACAGTGATGGAGCCTGTTGTAATGTGTTGTTGATGGTCCTGTCGTCCACAGTGGTCCAGTGTCCGGAGCTGTCCAGCCCAGCAAGAGGATCCATGAAGTGCTCCGATCCTCTGGGTCCCTCCAGCTTCCAGTCCACCTGTTCGTTTACCTGTGATGAAGGCTACGTACTGGCTGGTTCTCCATCTAACACTCTGCAATGTGAAGCATCAGGATTTTGGAACGCCTCACAGCCATCATGTGTTGGTACGCCCGCATTTTTATGTTCTTACCTGGCTGGATTTTATACTTCACATTATATCGATGATATTTTGTATTTAAGTCTGTTATTACGAGGAAGAAGCTGTATGATGTTTTTGAAAAAGCTCCTGTTGACCTGTTTGGTTCCCCCTCTATTTTGCAGCTGTGCAGTGCCCTGATCTCCAGGAGCTGGACAATGGTGTTGTCAGCTGTGGAGATGATGTAGATAGGATGTTCAGCTACGAAAACACCTGCAGCTTCAGCTGCAACCCCTGCTACCACCTGGTGGGACCGAGCGAGGTGACCTGCACGTCAGCAGCTGAGTGGAGTGAGAGGATGCCTCGTTGTGAAGGTGAGGGCACACTTAATATTTAATCCAAACCACCTTCAGATGATTAAGATTAGCTTTCTTGTTTGTGCCTTTATTACAAACATACTAATTATACCTTTTTTTTTTGCTTTTCCTGTGTAGCCATCACTTGCCAGAATCCAGAGGGAGAAGCTCACCTCATCACCCAGTGCAGCCAACCTTTGTCTGACCTGCGGCCAGACTCCACCTGTAGGTTCAGCTGTGAAGAAGGCTTTGAACTGCAGGGAGCACACACCACTCAGTGCTCTGAGGATGGACAGTGGAGTAAAGCCATACCTACCTGCAAAGGTATGGTAGCTTACGTTCACATAAATCTCTGCTCTAGTTTGCTACAGTTTTTACAGTCTTTGTTTTCTAATTTTGTTCTATGCCATGACATGTCATCATATTGATTTTTCCTTTTTAGCAATTGGATGTCCTGTTCCTGAGATCCCCACAAATGTCCAGATCAGCTGCAGCCCCTCTCCGTCTTCACCTGTTTCCTCTGTGACTCAACATCCACTTGGTATGGTGTGCACTTTCAGCTGCGACGAAGGTCATGAGCTGCAAGGTGCACTCAGCATGGACTGTGCAAATCCTGGCCAGTGGACCTCCACACCACCGAACTGCACAGGTATACACATGTACCCATTTTGCCTGCGCTATTTGTAATGTCTGCTAAAAGTGCATACATAGGCTACAGTGAGATCTCCTTTATGAATATGTGAAGGTTACCATCTAAATTCTTGCTGTCTTCTCCCACACAGCAGTGAGATGCCCACTGCTCGAGGCGCCTGAAAACGGTCATATCAACTGCTCAAACAGTGAATCAGTGTACAACTCACAGTGCTCCTTCGCATGCAATCAAGATTACTCATTAATCGGACATGAGCTGCTGACCTGTGATCGCCATGGCAATTGGACTGGAGAGAAACCCACCTGCCAAGGTAAAAGAGAGAGGCAACAAATGTTAGAAGAAACTTTAACATAAGAACCATATAAGAATACCAGAATAAGAGTTAAAGAGATCACATATTAAATTGGTCATTTTTCCTCAGCTCTCTCAACTCAGACTGCTGCCATCGCTTCTGGTGTGGTAGCTGGAGGCGCTCTGTTATCTGGTCTGTCTCTGGCTGTGTGGATCCTGAAACGACTGAAGAAGAAAGCCACCAAGTTTGAGCTGAACAGGTGAGATAAACATTCATCTCTATCAAAGCATACTTTTTTTTTTTTTTTTAAAAAAAGCAAGTTTGTTGAATTGCAGTGCTCATTTCCTTCTTCTGTGTTTTCTAACAGTACCTCTGAGATAGAAGACCCTCCACAGTCCTACAAAAACAGCGTCGACAGCCTCATATAAAACACATATTCAACATCGAAGGACAATTGTATATATCTGTAAAATACTTGTGTGTCAGTCATATTAATGTGAACTGTAAGAATAATTTACATTGATGTAATACATGTTAAATATGTCAGAGCTATGTATGGTGATAGAAAAGGTTTCCCCACCTTTGCATTTGTTGCATTATGTTTCCTTTAATGTCATGATTTGCTCTACCATGGTCAGACATGTATTTCCTCCCAAGGGGAGTTTTCTATTGAACACGTTGTTCTACAGCTTCATGAACATGCTGGAAAGGTGGCTCTATTCATGTTACTGTAAATGTTACATTGTGGGTAGATTGCCATGTCAATGCAGAACTGTGAATAATTTCACTATATTAAAGTATTTATGTACTATTTATTTACCAGACGGTCGTTAGCTCATTTATATTTCTGTATGTTTAAAGCAGTGCTATTTTTTATTCACAATAAAAGGTCAAACTTATCATTTGCTTTTGGGCTTTTTTAATGCATCTTTCAACATCATGACCAGCTGTCAGTTTCAAAAAAAAAAAAAAAAAAAAGTCAGCCATGTCATTACATTGATAGATGTTCCGAAGGTCAAGCCATCAACTCCATACACAACACCAACATTTTCCCACACTTTGAACAGTGACATTTATCCTGACATTGCAGGACATCGTGTGTTTTTACAGAGTTCCAGGAAGAACTTTTTCCAAACAACCCAGACCTCTTCTCTCTTTCTGTCACCTCCTTTACAATGGACGGGGCAGAGATGAATAGTTGAATAACATGAGAGGTAAGCACGGCAGGAAGAGCTATATTGCTGTAGTAATCTGTTTTACACATCATCACCATTGTTTGTTCTACCAAATTCAGTCCTCTATATGTCAGCACTTCGGCAGAACCAGAAATAGATCTGATAGCTTCCATCAGACTGAGGGAGCGTCTGACAGTGTGGGCACTCTGTTTCTCTGTAATGTGCTTATTTTAAAACTTGGATTTTCAACATGTCAGGGTGCAGAGAAGCAGTGTCACTAAAACCTGTCTTCTAGGATACTGAAAAACACATTCTAGTGACAAGGGAAAGCCTTCCCTCCATGGTGCTATGTACAGTAGGCAAGAGTTTGTAGTCAGGAATATATCACAGAAGCAAAACAGCCAAAGTGTCCAAGAACATATAATTAAAGCTGTAGTAGGTAAGCTTTATAAAAACCTACCTTTAAGAGACTCATCCGCTCAATAAACAAAAAAACAGTTTTTCAGGTGAGAAACCAAACATTTTCATCTCAGTTGTTTTTTGCATAGTGTCCATTGTGTTGTATGTACATTTGTTTCACTTAGATAGGTTCAAGTAGTAGTTTCTCTAGTTTAATTTGATGTGTTTCATTAGTGCTAGCTTTGAAGCTAAAAACTGTTAGCTCTTTCATGGCTGCTAGGCATGGGGAGGGTTGTAACTCTTCGAAAGTGTTTATTGTTCAACTGTTAAAATGCTGTTCAAATGTCAACCTCATTCAGGCTACAACGCACACACACACAAACACACACACACACACACACACACACAGGTTAATACTTTATTATTCTTGATTTTATTTATCTTATTGTACTTATTTTTGTATTTATGTTATACATTTCTATTTATTTTAATATTATAATTATTGTATTCTTACAAGTTTATTGTTCCTTCTTTATTGTTCATTAAAGTGCTTGAATACATTTAGCCTACTGTGAATCTTTTTTAAGCACAATAATTTAATTGTTACATCCACCCCCAGCTAGTGTTACAACTCACCCCGGCACTGGGGTACGTTGTAACATTATACCTCTTTGTATTTGACATTAATTTCCATAATCTGTGATGGTGTAGTAGAGGTCAAAGTGTGTGTTATTTATAGCAGACAAATATGGGTACCATGTATCAAAATTTAAGAGCTCTAACAAAAAAACCCACCGAGTTACACCAAATTGTCCCAAATGTAAAAGTCATGCAGGCACTAAGTTGCACTGCCTGTGGGAATGCAATTCAATTCAGGTATTCTGGAGGGCAATATGTGCAAACATTAGTATTGCAATAGGACAACAGGTGTCAGCAAATCCACTTTTATGTTTGCTTGGAAATGTCCCCAATTTTCTTAAACAACATGAGGAAGTGATTCAATCAGTCTTAATGCTGGCAAGGAAAGCATTCATGGTGAAGTGGGTAGGAGATGATCCTCCCTCTGTTCTAATGTGGAAATCTCTGATACCCGAGGTTGTGACTCTTGAAAAATTGTGACATTACATAAATGGGAGGATTCATACTTTTCAGCAGAAATGGAAGAGACCATTGGAAAATCTTGGAGTTAAATACAATTTGGCACTGAACTAACTGGACATACGCTTGAAATGGGACATTACAGGAATCTGACCCTTGTATGTGTTTCACTAGATTGACTTTCATATTGTTTAAGCGCCGTGCTTCTCTCTTTTCACTTATTGACCAGTCTTGTAAACCTGTGAAAATTGTAATTTTGTAATTTGATTTTTTGAATGCTTTTGGAAAATTGAATAAAAGTTAAAAAAAAAAAAAAAAACAAAAAAAAAAAACCCTACCTTTGTGTCATATTTGCTGGAACTGTCACTATATCCACACAGCAGTACATGATACAGCAACCTGGTCGAAAAATGCTGTCCTTTAATGTTGGCATAATACGCGTGCAGTTGCTGTTATAGTTTAATGACGCTCGGCACCGTCAAGGGGCAAATGTGGAGGAACAAGAACCAAAGTTAAGACAGCGAAAGTCTGAGTTTGCTGGTTGGGTGGTGGATGGGTCGAGCAAACACCTACTTTCATCTGGGACAGTGGTGTTCGCGTCCTGTAAGATTCTAAAGCCAAACTCTGTTCTTTTTAACTAAACCTAACTATGTGTTTATGCTGCCTAAACCCAACCACGTGCGTTAGCTGCTGGAGTTAAAAAATGTCAGTTCGCATTGTTGTACCGACGTAGCGCGTTTATTTTGAAAGAGACTGTATGTAAATGGTAAATTTCCTGTGAAAACTGAAGTGTATTTTGAAAGAAGAGCAACAGGCAGAACTTGACATGGCATCTCAGAATGTCGACAATTAACGCACCCAGGGTACCTTTCACATCGTACCTGGACGTGGAAAGTCCATGACCAAATGTCGAGGTCGAGGATGACAATGTGTTGGATACAGATGATCTGTGAAAATAAGAAATCATATTACTCTGCCTCCTTGTATTGCTTATAATGGCATAGAGAGCTGCAGGTATGAGTTTGAAAACCCACAGAAGAATTAGCATTTTAGAATCTTAATTCGTATTTGATCAGCACTTGCTGCTTTGACAGTTTGACCGCAGTTCAGGAACAGCGCTTGATATGATTGACAGCTGCATCAGACACTCCTCAGCTATGATAGGCTCTGATTATTTGTTCTCAGTAGCAAATTCGTAGGGCTGCTGTGAAACCGCGCTTACTTAGGGCAACAAAACGTGTGTCAGTACAGTAGACAACCAAGAAAGGATGGCAGAGAAGATTCCCGCACACCAGTGCAACTAAGCTGGACAGCCACTAAAAAGGTTCACAGGCTGAGATCAGTGCAAAAAATTCTGAAATTTAGGACATCCTTGCACAAAAAAAGTCAAGGACTGAAATTGCTTTTTATTTACTTTTTATTATTATTTTTTTGCACTTTGTGCACCATTCTTTTTGTGCAAGGATGTTCTAAATAAATTGACTTTTTTTTTTTTTTTGCATTGATTTCAGCCTGTGAACCTTTTTTTGTGGCTGTCCAGCCCGGTTGCACTGGTTTGAGAATATCTCTTTCAGTAGCAAATGCCATTAGAGGCAATAGGAGGAGGAGAGACATGATATTTTTCTGTCTCATAAAACACTTTGTTAATGTAGTGGCAGTTTCAGCAGATATGACATAAAGTTATTTTCATGATGTATTTTTCATGTCCAACTGTAGCTTTAATTGCACAAATTGGCAAAATTCTGCATTTTAAAATCCCCTTTTATGAGGGAAATATTACTGTGTGTTGGCTCCAAGATTCAGTGGTGATCTGCACTGGGCTTTACTTTCATGTGAAACATTTTTGCATTGTTTGCGTTTCCTCTTTTTTATCAATCAGCAAGCCCGCATTTACCAGAAACAAGGGGCATTTCCCAAAACGACTGTTCAGGTGTAACAGGTCAATAAGTCACTCATTCATTCATCACATGCATTCACTCTGTCAAACAAACATCCAGGTATTCTGTGATAATGCCTTAGAACAATATAAAAGCCTAACATTTCTCCGGGCTTGCAGCAAACTAACATTCACTTGCTGCACTGCTGTGGTGTAAGGTTTTATATTTGATACAGTTAGAAAACAAGGATTTAACTTAAGTAGCAAGCTTATTTTAAGCAGTTTAACCTTTACCTTCTGCGTAAGCAAGTAAAGAAGTTCTAATTTTGGCATTTTTCATGATCATTACTATTTTGGCTTCTGATTATTCTTTTGTTTGGACAGAAAACTGGTACTTTGAGTGCACTCATTAAAATGATTTGGATACTAATCCTCCTCCTTGGTGAGTATTATTTTTAACTCTAAAGCAAAATGTATAGTTTATATAGTGTGCATGAAATCTTTCAAATTGGATGAAAAAAGACTTGTCCTTAACTTTTATCATTCAAATTGTACATCAGGTTGCTCCCTTACTGAGACTACCTTGGGCTGGACATATCATCACTCACCTGGGACCATGAGCTGGTACAGTGCCCGAGACTATTGCCGGAAAACTTACACAGACATGGTGGTCATCCAAAACCAGGAAGAGAATGACTATTTGGTGTCCATGCTGCCAAACAGAAATAAGGGTCCATACTATTGGATTGGAATCACTAAAAAACACTTGAATGAAACTTGGGCCTGGATTGGGAATAACAGCACGTGGATTGGTGAACACTCGTGGGCAGCAAACGAGCCCAACAACAACCACAGCACAGAGTTTTGTGTCGAGATCTACGTGAACAATGGACCGAACCGAGGGAAGTGGAATGATGAGAAATGCGGCAATAGGAAATTTGCCGTTTGTTATAAAGGTATGAAAATCTGATTGAAGGTTTGTTTCAGTTTCTAAAGCAGTACAGGTTGTTTTAGTGTTGCACTTTTTCTTTAACAGCCCAATGTAATGCAACAATATGTGGCAGAGGACGATGCCAGGAGACCATAAAAAACATAACCTGCCTCTGTGACCCTGGCTATAAGGGAGACATGTGCCAAACAGAAGAGGAGTCAGCAAACGGGGACGAAGTCACCAATTATCACAGTAGGTGTTCATTTGAAGGATAGGTTCACTTTTTTAAGTCTATCTTTAAAGAATTCTCACATGTCTATGTGCACTGAAACAGTTTTTGGTCGCTGTAATTGTTCAAGTCCATATGTTGCAAACTGCATAAAAGTAATTCAACACCAAAAATTCTTGGTTATTTTTGGAAACAATGGATGCTAATTGTACAAAACGCAAACAGTCGACTCTCAGTCATTGTTAAGACATTGTTGAGCGTCTTCTGCCCTGGTTTTTGCAGTGACGACCTTGTCGGCCTTTGCCAACTTTATTCTGGCCGATTCAGCCTGTTAAATTGGCGTCAGAGCAGGTGCAGTCCAACACTAAGAAAAATCACTCTGATTGGGACGGAGAGAAACAAAACAGTGGAAAGCAAACGAATGGCTAAAGTCAAGAGGGCATGACCTTAAACAAAATTGTCATACTAGGAACGTTTTTTCACCATTGAACTCCTCAGCAGAAATGGTTTGTAATTGTTTGTGTAACTGTTCGTTGGTACAAGGTAAATATTCTTTGTTCTATCAACATCGGGTTGTATTGTTAATGTGCTAACTGGCTAACTAGCATCTTACATCGGTCGTACTGGTCTCCCAGTTTCCCTTTTTGAATGATGAGTACAGAGTAAAGGCACCTGCTGGTATGGAGAGTTATTTCCTCTCACGCAGGCGCAGAGCTAAATGCTAGTTAGCTGTTGGTTGTGGTCTTTGCGATGCGTTCAGTTGCAAGTTTTCGGCTGAGACACAGGTGATGTGAGGAGATGCCTGTATTGTCTCTAACTCTTTGATGTTGGTTTGGTGTGTATAGGCCTTAAGGTACAACCATGTCAATTTACAGTTGATAAGCTATATGGATGATGGCTTTCCAGGGGAGGGGTTTAGCAAACTGTCCAATATCACCCAAACCTGCAGTTCCCTGATGGTCTTTAGCAGGGCCGGCTCTTGGCATAGGGCCGTCTAGGGTGCCACATGCTGGCGGGGGCGCAGCTGCAAGCCCTCAAAAAAAAAAAAAAAAAAAAAAATAATAATAGTAATAATTTGCAGCCCCGACTGGCGCTCTTTCCTCATGCTCTGTCTTGAAAAAAAGAGCAAATAAAGAAAAAGTAAACAACAACAACAACCCCCCTGTTGTTTGTCATTATTTGACCTGGCCCTGAACCTGTCCTGCACCGTGCTCAGTCACGTCACTGTTGGCGAGGGGGGTGGGTCGAGTTATCTGTGCGCATCTCAGGTAGGTAGCGGTTGTGACTGACAGACAACAAGAGGTCATAATTTGTTGAATTATTGGGTTATCATCATGAAAAGACCTCCAAGCCCTCAGGTGCGACATACAGAAAGCGGAGGAAAGAGGAGGCGGAGGTCCAGTATCTAAGTATGTCGTCTTTTATAACATTAAAAAATGCAGTTTGACTTCTTTTCATTTGTACTAGCTAGCAGCTTGCGAAGATGAAATAAAGCAAAGTTGCCTAATAATGCTACTGTAGATAATGATGTGCTCGCTGCCAAGGATTGAGTTAAGCTGCTGAGGTGGTTTATTGCTGTTTTTATCTGGTGAACTACTGGCTGCTTAGTGCTCCTCCCTTAGCACATTAGATATTGTGCTGAAATTCAATAACAAATAGGGACAACTGTAAATATTATGTGACTATATAACTGTAGTGCAACCTCTTTTATTTTAGCAATGCATAATCACAACTAGATAATAATTTATGTTATGTTGAACACATCACTGGTGCAAGTAGTAGTCTGTCTGCTGCAGCTACATGTTTTGCTTGTACTGTACAGTAAGAGGTAAATCTACTCTACATCTGTCCAGATGTACTGACAAAATATTTGAACAAGAAGCCCCAAGAAGCTGCTTTAGAGGGGCCTTCTCTGACATCTCCTCCACTCTCTGAAAGTTTAGCCAATTATTTGTGGTCTCTGATACACTGCTATGTTGTCATTTTTATCATTATTTTTGTTGTTGTTATTGATATTATTATTATTATAATGTCATTATTATTATTACTACTGCATGTTCCAGTTTAACCTTGTTACTAATTACAGTAAATGTAGGTCAAATAAAATAAAGTTTATTTGTACAGTGCCTACTTTATATGAAGTAGAATGACACAACAGACTTAAAGCAGTGGTGTAACAGTATGGATGTGCTGTATGTTTTAATACAGCTACGAGTCAGGCATCAAGCAGCAGCACGGCTGGATTCAGCACACCACCTCACTACCTCACGACTTCCAGTGAGACACAGCCTGAATCAGGTGAGTTCTGTAATTGTATGTTACTGCTGCAGTCATGTTTCGAATGTAAATATGGCCAAATCCAGAAACATTTTTGTTGTTTCTATCAAATATTCACAGATACTCTTATCACAATATTCACTTTGCTTATTTTTTTCATTTTCCGGTCTGCAACTTTATTGTTTTGGTTTTCTCTTACCCTTAGTGGAGTTTCAGCCACAGTAGGAGCTAAAAAACGACCAAACAAAAAAACGAAGAAGTTGGTGGCGACCAAAAGCAGAGCTAAAAGAGTATAAACATTGGACTTACATTCATGCGGTGGAAACAAACACAATTCCAAATGAATGCTAATGTTGCTCTGTATAAGCTGGATTGTTTGCTTAATAAGGTCCCCATATAAAGTTAAATGGAAATAATACTGTCAGTTTTGAGTTCACATCTTGTTTCCACTGCCTCCAAGTGGACATAAGCCAGTTATTGCAGGCTTAAGTTCAACAGAAGGGACTTAAAGGCGCTGTATGTAAGAATGTGGCCAAAACGGTTACTGCACTCAAATTCAAAATACTGCAACGAGTCGTCTCCGCCCCCCCTCCCCTACAGATTCGAGGTTGCTGGACAGCGGCACGCTGGAGATTGATTTGTTTGCCCACGGTTGGCTGCTTTGGCAGGGCTGCGTTTCCGCATCCTTGATCTTCTGTTTTCCAGCTGACCGTTTGAGCAAGTCCGGCTTCTCTGCTGCTAACGCTGCTGCCGGGATACAGCTGAGGAGACTGCTAATGCTATGTACCGGGACACTGCTAACGCTGCTTGCCGTGCTGCTGTAGCTCAGTCGTAACTGTAACTGATGCTGAGACTCTATGGCTGTGTGACTGGTAGACGGCGGTGGGTAGCGCAACAGGCCAAAACACAAATTCAAAACATAAACATCATTTGCGGACCGTAAAAATTTTTTTTAAATGCGAATATTCTGGCTGTACTATTGTTGTCGCTGAGATCAGTATGTTATATGAACATTATTCCTTAGTCTCTGTGACATATTAGGAGGATTTTACGACTATTTGCTTTAGATTTCTTACATATAGCTCCTTTAATGTTGTTGATTCTTTCTGTAAACACAAGACACCAATATCATGTTAGAATGTCAGTCTGAGGTGCTCTTGTCCCCTTTAGCCTTATATGTGTATGTCTGCGGAGGCATATTTGAAAGCTCCCTCGGTTAGCAGTTTAAGATGTAGTATTTATAACTGATTGCTGACATTCAGATGGATGAACTTTTCACTATCTCCTTCCTCAGAATATCCTCTTTTATTGTTCGTTGTCTCAAGCGGCACTTCTTCAGAACATCACAATTATTTTTCGACAGAATTTTAATATGGGCATCACCAGCCTCTGCATCTGTTTCCTCTGTTTCCTGAGGCCAGGCTGAAGATCACATTCAAAATACTGATCAAAATACTTGCATCAGCATGCTCCTGCTCTAAAAATTATTTTCATAGTTGAAAGCTGGTATGAAACCGTTACATAACTGCATCACTGATAGCCTTTACCCTTTTTGTGCCCCCAGCCGTGGAGTGCCCCCCTCTGCCTCAGCCCGATAACGGATACCATAGCTGCTTGGGAGGAAACCTGACATTCAACTCCACATGTCAGTTTAAATGCTACTCAGGCTTCCGGATGGTAGGCTCGCCAGCTATTACCTGTGGGGTCACCGGGGTCTGGAGTGGCCCAAGACCTGTTTGTGCAAGTAATTATTCAAAGTTATATAAGCTTGAATTATTTTCTTAATAAAGGATAAATCCACCAAAACCAGGGCCGACCATTTATTGCACTGGTTATGTTGTTTCTCCTGCTTCTAATATATCACAAGGGAGCAGCAGCAGTGATAGTTGTGGTAATAAATTGTTGTTTTTTTTAAAAAAAAATATCACATTGTCAAGTATCATACAACACAGGATAAAATGACTGTGTTTTATTTTCTCAGGCTATAAACAGGCCCTGTTTGCTGTCGCTGGGTGTGGAGCCCTCTCAGCCCTCAGCTGCATCTGTTTTTGCTGGATGAAACGCAGAAGAAGTCAGTTTCTCAATCACACTAGAAAAAGAGATGCATGTTATTGCAACAGACCTCAATAGTAATCTGTTTTCTGTTAATTTCTCACAGGAAAGAAACTTGCCCAAGTAAGGTCAGTGTTGAAATGTACCAGTCCAAAGCAACTCCACCCATTTCTTGAGAAGCTGATTAACCCAAATGTTACTTTTCATTTCTTCTGCTACCTAAAATGCTAAAATATTTACTTAAGTGTAACTGTGATTCAGTTCGGTAAATCGGTCAGTAAGTGCCTCTTTATTGTTAATCTGGTTCTCCCTCACAGGCAGTCTGAAGAGGTGACAAGTCCATTCAGTGAGGCACAAGGATGAAGAACAGCTGGGACCTCATTTATACATCTTTTTAAAATATATCTAGAATGACCCATACGCAGTTACTCATATTAATCTTAGTAGACTGCTAATAAATCAACCTAAACAGTCACTGGCTGCACAGGTTGTTTGCCAGGATTATCACTTAGCTAAGTGTTTTGTCTTATATACTGTGTGTTAAAGCTTCATTTGGATATATGCATCCATATAAAGTGTGTAGCCAGTGTATGTGTATGTGACAGAGGTGTGGACTTGAGTTGCATGACTTGGACTTGAGTCAGTCTCTAGTCACAATTCTGATGACTTTAAACTTGTACAACTCGATGTACAACTGGACTTGGACTTTCACGCCGATGATTTGTGACTTCACTTGGACTCGAGCTGTTTGACTTGAAAATACGTGATACCGTACCCAAGCCATTATAAACATTTGAAGAGCAAGTTATAGACATTTTTCCAATATGAGATGAGGTAAATAAAGCAACACAGGACAAAAACATACAAAATTCATTGTGTTGTGGCACTGCTTAATAGTGCTATATGAAAGTCAGTATTGCTTTTTTCTGATTAAGTTAAGTCTCACTTTGTTTAACAAATGAAAACACATTTTAAAAGCCCCTTGTGTTTTTTGTAAAGCAATTCTATTATTGCTCTGTTATTTAAACAGCATTAAATTTTGTGAAGAGAGCATAATAAGCTGTTTAGGACTTGTTTGTGACTTGAGTGCAAAGACTTGAGACTTACTTGCAACATGCAAATTATTGACTCAGTCCCACCTCTGGTATGCGATAGCTTATTATAATCATGCATATGTGAACTCAAAGCATGCATTTAATAACACTGGAGTTGCATTTCTGTGGTATCTAAATATAATAAAATAAAATGAATCTAAAATGTTTTAAGTCAAGTTTTAATTAGTATTAGTGAATGTCTGTGTTTGTGTATGCATCTGGGTCTGTGTGTTTGTGTTCCCAGACAATAATGGGTGGTAGAATGGTGTCCTTCCTGAAAGGAAGTTACTGCATAAGTGATATTACAAAACTGGTCACTGACTCATTCTCTGAAGGACAATTAATGCCACTTTGCCATCGATTGTCAGCAAGGTGGAGTAAACACATTGGCAACATTCAGTAGCTGAAGACGGACCAAATGGTAAGAGCTCTTAAATATTGCTGCAAGTGTTGTACTTTCACACTCATATGCAATTATGGGAAATAAATTCTCTTTTTATTTCAGATGTCTCAAGGATCAGTTGGTAGACAAAGCCTGCATCACATGGTGCTGATAGCTGCATTGATTGCATTTGCCAGAGGTAGGTCTGCATAATCTTACAGGCAATGAACTCTTTCAGACTTTTTTTTTTTTTTGCTTTACCAGTTCAAATTTTGTCTCATCATTGTGTGCATTAACCTAATCTTAGACCTGACCAGCGGTGGAGGAGCACAGGCATGGACCTACAGCTACAGCACCAGTCAAAACCGTAGATGGCTTGAAGCCCGCCAGTGGTGCCAGCAGCACTTCATAGACATGGTGCCCATCCGTAACAAGGAAGAAAATGACTTTATCAACAATCTGGTGCCATTTCACTCAAAATACTACTGGATAGGCATAGGCAAGAAGGATGGAGAGTGGATCTGGAAAGAAAATGATGAAAAGGTGCCCAAAGAAGTTGAGAACTGGGCACCAGAGGAGCCAGATGACATAGCAGAGCAGGACTGCGTGGAGATTTACATTAAGAGGCAGCAAGACATGGCCAAGTGGAACAATGAGAACTGTCTCAAGAGGAAAGGAACTATCTGCTACAGTGGTAAAACCCTCATTGTTTGTTTGATTAAAACATTACCCGACTCCTGTAGACTTATTATAACATGTGAGCTCTGTCCCGGTGTGTATGTAGCCTCCTGTACACAGGATTCCTGCAGTGCCAATGCAGACTGTGTGGAGACTATAGGGAACTATACCTGCCTGTGCCATCCTGGTTTCCTGGGATCACGCTGTGAAGAGGGTGAGCAAACGCTATCGTAATATATTTAAAGGTCTAGTGTGTAGGATTTAGGGGAATATATTGACAGAAATTGAATATAATGTAAAAAAAGAAGGTTTTCTTTTGTTTATAATCACCTGAAAATAAGAACTGTCTGGTTTTAATTAGCTTAGAATGAGCTGTTTATCGACATAGGGAGCTAGCCCTCTGCAATCCTCACCACTAGGTGCCACTAACTCCTACGCACTGCTCCTTTAAACTGGCCACAACATTGTTCTGTGATGAGTTAAATATATTTTGGTTTGTTTTCTCTTCAGCAATCTCATGCGAACCCTTGCTGGATCCAGAACAAGGTTCTCACTACTGTTTCCATCCCCACGGGTCCAGTCGGTTCAACTCTTCCTGCCGTTTCCACTGTGAACTTGGCTTTCAGTTGGTCGGCATGCCACAACTGTTATGCCAAGCCAGTGGACGTTGGAACCACCCTGTCCCTCTGTGTCAAGGTATGGATACCAACTGGATATCAACAGTGGCAAGAAGAATTATTATTTCAGGCAAAAAGAATTATTATTTCAGGTATGAACGTTACAAGGAAAATATTTCTCACTGCCTGTCTTAGTCGAACAGTGTCCAGCTCTGAACCACACCAGCATCAGCGCAGGTAGTTTGACCTGCAACCACCCCATTGCACCTTACAGCTACAACTCCACCTGCGAGGTCAGGTGTGATGAAGGCTATGAGCACAGTGGAGCGGACCAGATACATTGTGACCACACCGGCAAGTGGACAGCCAGTGTCCCAACATGTACAAGTAAAGTGACTGTCATTACCTTTGACTATATAATTAGACCCAATCATGCTTTAAACTGTATAATTACCTTAACCTAATTGAAAATGTATAATCTAACTTTAATAATGGTGACATTTTATCCACATTTTTTGTGAAAGTCACTGCTACTGCCACTTTTAATGTGACTTCCCTTTTTGAAATACTCAGCCTCTGTTAATAGATTGATGGCCCCCTTTAACCAATACTTAGCTGACCAAAATATGTAATCACATCCTGTCCAGACTGCACGGCAGACCAGCTTCAGGTCACATTTGTTATCACTTGACTCCACACTCATTTATGTCTGCATTGGGAAAACAACATTGTGGTCTAATGTGGGTGGAAAGTTACTGTTTCCCTTGACTGTAAATTTTGTCAGTATTATGTCATGCTCATGCTATGTTTATAAAAGCGGAGTCATAATGCACAGTCATTCAAACTGACGTATTTCTATAGGAACATTGATTTCCATTGAGTGCACTGACTGTGTGTGATTTATATCTACATCCCACCGCAGTAAAAAAGTGCTCCCCCATTTTCTTCCCTGTCACGGGCAATGTGACATGTGTGGACGCTGTGGAGCCTTTCTCCTTTGGCTCACGGTGTAACTTCACCTGCCAGGAAGGCCGCTACCTGACCGGAGACAACACATTCACCTGTCTGGCCTCGGGACAATGGAGCAACCCTACACCTACATGCACAGGTGGGTCACAGAAATTATGTCAGGGCTGCCTGAAAGCAACACAAGCTTCCTAATAACTTTCAAATTTGTACGCAGCTCTGATAAGTGATTGTGTTTCTTCTTCTCTAGTGGTACAGTGCAACAGTTTAACGGCTCCACCCCATGCCTCCATGCAATGTCAGGACCCTCTGGGGGCATACAGCTTTGGGTCAACATGTACGCTGCAATGTGAAGAGGGATTTGATCTGATTGGCACAACCATTACAAAATGTTCTGCACAGGGCAACTGGAGTCATGCACTTCCTCTTTGCCAGGGTATGACTATAGATGATAAGCCTGTTCTCATTGCTCATTTTTTGTGCTTTATATTGTGTAATTCATCTATTCCCTTGTCTCTGTTTTACTCCAAGCTAAGAAATGTAATCCAATAAATCCACCTCATGGCTCCCTGTCCTGTTCTGACCCAAATGGTCTATTCAGTTTTGGTTCTCTGTGCACGACAACATGCGACGAAGGCTTTCTACTGAATGGGACAGCCAGCACTGAGTGCACCTCCCTGGGCAGGTGGAGTGTAGACATACCACATTGCTTGGGTGAGTAAATGAATTATGTCTGTGACTGTATCATGATCTGTAATTTCTTTCTGGTATCATTTTGCCAAATAAAATTCTAACATATTTCATTGCTTTCTCTCTCCCCAGCCATGAGGTGTCCCACTCTGAGCCCTCCCTCCCATGGCTCTTTGGTCTGCTCTGATCCCCACGAAGAGTTCAGCTTTGGTTCTCACTGCACGTCAACCTGTGAGGAGGGTTTCCTCCTGAATGGGACGGCTGACACAGAGTGTACTTCTCTTGGCACATGGAGCATGGACATCCCACGTTGTTTGGGTAAAAACAATCTCTGGACCATAACGTGTTGACTATAATCAACATAAGAGCTCATTTGCTAACAAAGACCATGCCAATAAGATAAAGATAGTAATAATAATGGTTTATTGCATTTGGTGGATTAAGGGTTTTGAGGAAAGCATGAAGGGATGAGGATCAAGACATGAAGTTATGATAGGATGTACAATGAAGGGATGAGGGTCGAGGAATAATGGGATGAGGGTCAGAGATGAAGGATAAAGGGATGAGGGTCGCTTGATGAAGAGTGCGGAATGAAGGAATGAAGGTGGAGGGATGAATTAGTGAGGGTTGAGGGTCAAATAGATGAGGGATGAAGGGATGAGTGTCGAATGGATGAGGGTCGAAGGGATGAGGGTTGAGGGATGAATGGATGAAGGATTAGGGTCGAAGGGATGAGGGTTGAGGGATGAATGGATGAAGGATTAGGGTCGAAAGAATGAGGTTCAAAGGATGAAGTGTAAGGAATGAATGGATGAGGGTCGAGGGATAAAGGGTGTGGGATGAAGGTGGAGGGATGAAGGGGTGAAGGTCGAGGGTTGAAAGGATAAGGGAGGAGGGTTGAGGGATAAATGGATGAAGGGTTAGGGATGAAAGAATGAGGGTCAAAAGATGAGGAGTGAGGAACGAAGGAATGAGGGTTGACGGCCAAATGGATGAGGGATGAAGAGATGAGTGTTGAAGGGCTGAGGGATAAATTGATGAAGAGTTAGGGATAAATGGATGAAGGGTTAGAGATGAAAGAAGGAGGGTCAAAGGATGAAGAGTGAGGAATAAAGGGGTGAAGGTTGAGGGTCGAATGGATGATGGATGAAGAGATAAGGGTTGAATGGATGAGGGATGAAGAGATGAGGGTATCCCTCAACCCTCATCCCTTCAACCCGGTTGAAGGGATGAGGGTTGAGGGATAAATGGATAAATGGATGAAGGGTTAGAGATGAAAGAATGAGGATCAAAGGATGAAGAGTGAGGAATGAAGGGATGGGGTTCGAGGGATGAAGGGTTGAAGGTGGAGGGATGAATGGGTGAGGGTCGAAGGTCGAATAGATAAGGGATGAGGGTTGAAGGGTTGAGGGTCAAAGGGTTGAGGGATGAATGGATGAAGGGTTAGGGATGAAAGAATGAGGGTCAAAGGATGAAGAGTGAGGAATGAAGGGATGAGGGTCGAGGGTTGAATGGATGAGGGATGAAGAGATGAGGGATGAACGGATGAGGGATGAAGATATGATGGTCAAAGGGTTGAGGGTTGAAGGGTTGAGGGATGAATGGATGAAGGGTTAGAGATGAAAGAATGCAGATCAAAGGATGAAGAGTGAGGAATGAAGGGATGACGGTTTAGGGATGAAGGGATGAAAGATTGTGGGTCGAGGAATGAAGAGATGAAGGCTGGGTCTCTGGGTCGTAGGCGAGGGAAATGACAAATCTGTTGGTCGAAGGCAGGAACGCAGAACCAGAGAGTTGTGAGACTGAGTGGGCGAGTTGTGTCTTTGTAACCCCAGCTTTGGGTAGAGCCCCTGCTGGTTCCTGTATGCAGAAAGGAGCAGAGAAGAAGATGTAAGAGGCACAAAGGGATTGGGCGGGTGGGATGTGAGAAGTGTGTCGAAGAGAAAGAGAATGGATCAGGTGTGCTTAAATACTTTTGAGTGGAAATAGGATGTGTTTAAGACGTGGTCTTTGTTCCTGAACCCAGTTTTATAAAACTATAATTATTTCATGGTTTAGTGTTCCAACATCAATTTACCTCATAAAGCTCTAAAATACCTTGTTGATCTCTTCCTCTACCTGTTTATCTTCCAGCCAAAAGATGTCCCACTCTGAGCTCTCCCTCTCATGGCTCCTTTATCTGCTCTGATCCTTACAAGGTGTTCAGTTTTGGTTCACTGTGCACATCAACATGTAAGGAGGGCTTTGTACTGGATGGGACAGCTAATACTGAGTGCACCTCTCTGGGCATATGGAGCACAGACATCCCACGTTGTCTGGGTAAGGTATACATCTTTGTATCATAATCTGCTGATTATAATCCATAAAAAATTTCTAAATGTTTTGGTTTAGATGTCTTGACTGCATTTTATTATCATAAACCTCTCCCTCTCTCTCTTCCCCTCCAGCTAAGAAATGTCCCGCTCTCAGTTGTCCCTCCCATGGCTCCTTAGTCTGCTCTGATCCTCATCAAGAGTTCAGTTTTGGTTCTCGATGCACATCCACCTGTGAGGAGGGTTTCCTCCTGAATGGGACGGCTGACACTGAGTGCACCTCTCTTGGCACATGGAGCAAAGACATCCCACGTTGCTTGGGTAAAAACAATCCATCTATCTGTTGATCATAATCCACAGAGGAACTCTTCTTTCATGGTTTAGATGCAATGACTCTTGTCTTCTCTTTAAATAGCTTTGCTCCTTTATGTCTCTGTTTCTCTTCCAGCTAAGAGATGCCCCACTCTGAACTCCACCTCTCATGGCTCCTTAGTCTGCTCCGCTCCTCATGGGGAGTTCAGTTTTGGTTCTCAGTGCTCGGCTACCTGTGAGGAGGGTTTTCTACTGAATGGGACGGCTGACACTGAGTGCACCTCTTTGGGCATATGGAGCAGAAAAATGCCCCACTGTCTCGGTAATAAATCAAAATTTCAGAGAGCTACACTTGACATGTATTCACTTCTGCTAGGTGCACATTACCATACACTCATGACTTGGAATGTGGGGTTACAGATGTCACTGTGTTGATTTATATCACAACACACCAGCTGTGTTTTTATTTGTCATGTCTAAAATCAGTGGTAAGTGTGTTAAAGGGAGATGAGGATTGCTTGGTCTGAAACTGGTGGTCATATTTTTTGTTATCCACAGCTCAGCCATGCCCCCTGCTGGCCAAGACTCCACAACATGGTAGGATGAACTGCAGCCACCCATACTCCTCTTTTAGCTTCGGCTCCCACTGTGACTTTGACTGCAATGAGGGCTTCTGGCTTAGAGGAACACCAACTATGACATGCAACACCTCAGGCCACTGGAGTCAAGATCTGCCCACCTGCCAGCGTGAGAGCTCACAATACCTTAAACTTACTTGCTGATCTGGTACTCAAACAGCTGATCCAATGTCATTAATTTCAATTTCTGTCTTTTTCACACCTCAGCGGTGGAGTGTGAGGCCATTAGTGCCTTGTCTTCATCCCTGTCTATGAACTGCTCCCATCCTCTGGGGAATTTCAGCTTTGGCTCCCAGTGTCTTTTCACTTGTGGAGGAGGATCCTCCCTGAATGGCACAGAGGTGCTGTCTTGCTCCTCCACTGGGTTTTGGAACGACAGCCTGCCTATCTGCATAGGTAAATTGGTTTTTCAGCATACTAACATGCTCACAATGACAATGCTATCTTAGGCAGGTATAATATTTGATATCTAATCAGCGCAAACTAGAGCTGAAGTATTGGACATATTGAAATTTTGACATGACAGCTCTAGAGAGAAAGTTAAATGATCACCAACGTGATTAGATTCCATCCTGAGGGGGACATAAATGTGTGTAGTAAATTTCTAAGCAATCCATCTTATAGTTGTAAAGACATTTTACCAAAAAAAATCCCCACAAATATCAACCTCTTGGTGGCACTACGGGTCACCAAAGTCATTAGGATACATCACGTGGGAACCATGAATGTCAGTACCAAAGCTTGTGCCAATTCATGTGCATGTTAAATTTTCAAAAACGTTCACCTGCTGCTTGTGCTACAGGGGAAGTCAGGAGATTACCAAGATCATTAGGGAGATCATGCTCTGGGAACCGAGAATCTATGTACAAACTTTCATAGTAATCCATCCAATAGCTGTTGAGATATTAAAGTGCGGACCAAAGTGGTAGACTGGATCGAGAAATGTGCAGTTAGGATAAAACAACAAATTAAAAACAACTTGTATTGAGTGTGATTTTTATGTGTTCCTGTAGGAGATATGCCAGAGGGGACTGCCATGCTGCTGTCGACGAGTGCAGGAGCAACCTACATTCTCTTGCCACTTGTCCTGATTGGACTGGCTTTGTTCGCTTTAATGCGATTAAAGAAAAAAAGTAAGACTTACTTTAATGCTGCTGTACAGTTTGATACATACAAATACAGCATGTTGTGGCACTCACAGCACATCTTTAATCCTTATTTCTGATTTTTGCAGAAAAGAATGTCATGTATGTGCCAGCATGGGGGGAGCATGAGAATCCAGCATTTGAATCTGAGGCCTGAGTTTTGCAGCAAATCATTTCATATACTGAAGCCCAATGCTTGCTGTAATTATACAAAGCTTGGTAGTAATTGGTGCCAGAAGATTACAGTGGAATAAGAGCTTTATGTTAAGAGTGATTTCAGTTTCCTCAGACAATCTTTAAAATGTAGATAATAATGCATATTTTGTATGCAAACCTTGAATTATTTTGTTAAAAACACAAAGTTGGATCCAGCTTGTGCTTGCTCTTGTATATTGCTTGATTGTCAATAAACTATCAATGGTTGTTGAATGGTCCCTTTTATTTTATTTTATTATTTTATTTAATTATTATTCATTTTTATTATTTATTTTTTTAATTTTTATTTTATTTTATTTATTTTATTTCATCATGTGATTCACCCAGTATCATGTATAAATTATGTGATCAGGTGGGCATTCTTTGTCAATGTCCAGTGTCATTTGGTCAAGCATTAGGTGACCCTGTCTTGCTGGTGCCCTCCCTAGAAGCTCAGTTTATCCACATTTGACCTCCCCCATAGGAACCAATACTGTGGGGTCAAGTGGGGAAGTGGCAGAAACCCTCTGAGATTACCAAACTGCCACAAAGTGTCAGTTTAGCACATTTAGTGGCCAGGAAACTCCTGTCACTGATTGGGGAGGAGGTGATCTATTATCAGCCTCAGCTCAATGTGTGTCACTGGGCACTGATCCCACACTAAGGGGCAATTCACCACCCCCACAGTAACTCACACAGTTTTGGAATATGTTTCATATTAGGGCTGATGTATAAATTACACTACTGATTTAGGTGAAAATCTATTGTCTGAATTAAGTATGGAGTTCCTATTGTGTGACTACTGTATAGAATCTTCGCTGTGTGTCTGTGCCAATAGTATACCCCCAGACTTGTGGTGGAAATGGCCAATGGAGCATCTTCAGCAAAGCGTGTGCATCTGTCTTGGCGCTGCAACAGCATGAAGCCAATTATAGCGGTTAAAAGACAGAGGGTTTGTGGCCTGTGGTTGGCATGAAGGGTGCAATAAATAACCACACTGTCGACAGGAAACTGTTTGGCTACCGTCAGAATAATAATGAGGTTATTGCTACCTGCTGTGACCGTATGATCACGGTTTGATTATTTTTCTCATCCCACCCACGGCTGCTGGCAACTGTATATGCGTGCCAACTGCGCACAGGCTCGCGCACAAGAAGGGAAAAAGCCCTGCAGGTGACCACCTTGGCTTCCTTCCCTGATATTTAAGTCTGGCTTCTCTCCCTTCATCTACCTCTGAAGATACAAGGAAGTACATTATGATACTTTAGTCCCCGACAACAAAGAGTGTTGTTCCTCCTAACACATGAGCATGCACACATGCGCATGCCAGCAGACACTTAGAGCAGATACAGACACAGATACAAAGGCAGACTCAAAGAAACACACACTCAGTATACTCTGCTGCACACTTCTTTAGCTCTGGTTGGCAGTAGCATACCACGGTGACAGACAGTTAGATTGTTCCTGACCATTGACTTGCGCTCTCTGCTCTGCAAGGTCTGATTTCATAGTGGGGAATATGAGATGGGTCCAGGAGAGGGTTCACGGCTGGGGCAAGGAGGCACTCCATACAGTGGGGCTTCATATCTCTGTGTCACCCTGGGCATTCTCCCCTGACACAGCTTTCAGCCCCTCTGTTGTCTGGAGCCCCCACCCTGGGTTTTCTCAACCTCCCTCCCCAGGATTGGTGCATTCCAGCTGGGCACAGTGCCTGGGTGGTCCCCCCCCCCTCCTGTCCTCTATACTGGAGGAAGGAAAAGGCAGAAAAATGCAGCGAGGGCCTTTGACCGTGAGGAGCACAATGTGAGCGTTGATGATGGCGGCGTGGATGTGATGCTTACCTGCCACTGACCCATACAGCTGTCATAGCCCACCGTTTCACAATCTGATGATCCACCCAACAGCCAGGGGAAGATGCCTCGCTGACCTGTCACCTAGATTGGACTGATAAGCACCGAGGATGGACTGACCCAGCTCTAACCCTCAGCATGAATACCCCATCTTCATAATAGATCAGCCTGTGCCTCATACTCACTACGCCACACATTTTATACTGAATATTCACTGTATCATAACCATTATTTATTAATCATTGCTGATTCATTCAAGATGAACGGCATACACACATTGTGAGAATAAATACAAATACACACCCAAACAGCTATTTACATTAGTAGATGCAGTTATGATCTCATGATCTAACATTCAAACATAGTGGGAGAGGTCCGACGGTATCGTGCATACACAGGAGCCTGTGTGTCGTACATTGGGATTGTAAAGCATAAGAGGCAGTAGTGTAATCATCTTTATATGCACATGCACATAGTATATTGCATGGTATCACAGTGTACCCACGTCCCCTTGGCGTTGACCGCTTCCTCAATCTTGTGCATGATACAGACCAACCCAATCGCCAGAAGGAAATGTTGGAATTGTACATTTTGGCAAACCAAGGATATGTTACATTTGTATGACATAGTTAATAGATTCCATGTATATGAGCTGAGTTTCTCATTGGGAGGAGGAGAGGATGATGGCGTCACATCAAGGCAAGACAGCTCCCAAGCAGCAGTTCGGGCCTTTTATAGCCATGTTTGTAATTGCAAAAGCGGGTATTTTTTAATGAGTTCGAGACATTTATAGCCGCATTTGTGGTGACAAAAGTGGGAATTTTTTTACGAGAGTTCGGGACATATCTAGTCATTTTGTAATGGCAAAAGCAGGTATGCTTTAAAGAGTTTGGGACATTTATAGCTGTGTTTGTAGCGACAAAAGTGGGTATTTTTTTTAACGAGTTTGGCACATTTATAGCCGCGTTTGTGGTGACAAAAGCAGATATTTTTTTATGAGAGTTTGGGACATGTCAAGTCATGTTTGTAGCAACAAAAACGGGTATTTTTTAATGAGTTTGCGACATTTATAGCCGTGATTGTGGTGACAAAAGTGGGTATATTTTCACGAGAGTCCGGGACATGTCCAGCCATGTTTGAAGCAACCAAATGGGGTGTGATTAACCCAAAATATGATGATTTTCTAACCCTAGCCAAGTGGGTTTTGTGCCTAAACCGAACCACACATTAACCACAGCCTTGTCACAACATGGAATTAAAAATGGAAACGTAAAGAAATGCAAAGTTTGAACTTATCTGCTACATATGAAACGTAAAAATCTAACATATCCGTGGTTTGCAGAAACATACAACACCAACATTTATTTTGGACATTGTGTTGCACAGACAGAGTGAGGGAGACACACCACTTTTCACTGAGTCCCACCTCCAACCTCAGGAGGTGAAGTAAGAGTCCTGCATGGAGTAGAGGCGGTCGATAGGGGTGAGCAGAGAGGAGTCACCCAGAGACAGGCAGTCGCTGTCAGCCACATGACACAGAGGGTCTCTGTCCATCTCCCCGTACAGACCCTTAAAACCTGAAAAAGACACAACATCATTGATCACCTTTTTAAAGCTATGCTAATTTTAGTCATAAGGAGACGAGGAGTTCTACTTGGTCTTTGTTGTATTAAGTCTTCTGTGATTTGGAGGGAGCTTTCTAAAGTGTGAAGACACGACCCTAGTGATGTCATCAGGGTGGAGTTGCATTATGGAAAATGTAGGATGTAAAGACTGAAAATTAGGATATCTCAGCCTCTGCTGTACCAGTCTGACCACCTCTGACCTTTGACCCAACTTTATCCCAACAGTCACAAACAGACTGATGACATGTAAGTACATTGTAAGGATGTTTGCTGACCTCTGATCTCTTGTCAATATTAGCTGCATTTTAAACACATTAAAGACAACACACAAGGAGAAAGAGCAGTAGCCCAGGAAACAGTGCTACAATATCAAAGATCAACGGGATCCAACATATGAAAAAACAACAACTATCAGGCGTTTTAAAATAATAAACTCCTGACTTAAGTTATGATGTCATATTGCCAAAAATAATGGCAACCCCACCCATTAGTGAACCTTTGTAGAACAACACTCTAAACATGTAACTCTCCATCACGGTTTGACAGCCCTGAGGTCTTTACCGTAGGGGTGCATGTGATCCCCTGGCATCTGAGGTGGGGTCAGGCCCTGTCTGAAGGGGTCCATGTCATAGTCCTGCTGCTCCAGTGTGGTGAGTCCCATCTGCTGCTGCTGCTGCTGAATGTGGGTGTACGAGGACCCCAGGTGCTCCAACTCAGAGGTCAAACCGCCACAGGAGGGTGCTGTGGGGCACAGGAGACACACAGGAGACTGTGTTTACTGCTATATGTTACAGTGAGCTTTTGTGCCCTGTGCTATCGTCATGTTGCTGTATCTACTTTGCCCTTTTAGAGCTCTATTAACTGACTTCTGTGGCTTTCAAAAGTTGCACGTTTCAAGATCTCCATCAGAAATCTACAATTCAGTCTAATCTGACTCTCCTGCTTGTAATATGATTATTTAATTTTGTCTCCTGAAATATACCTTTAAAACTCATTGTAGGTCTACTAAATATTGAAAAATATAGCAGGATTTTCCCATTGCTAACTTGATCTTTAGGATATTATATCACATGAAAGGAGTAAAGAACATTTTCCAACACCTGTGTGATGTGATGAATGCTCGCGCTGCTCCTGAGTCTGCTGCTGCTCCTGCTGCTGCTGCTGTCTCCTGGCCAGTTTCTTCATCTTAAAACACACACACCAACAGACATTAATCTCACCCACAGGCCTAATGTAAACCATTTTTTTCTCACTCCAACACAGTCCCTCTCTGCCACCCAGGCGTACGAGTGTGTTCACTCAATTGCAAAGTATTAACAGTGAGGTAAAGGACATCTGTCAGTGGAGGAGGGAAACCACACATGTGCCCACTTTGTGAGGAAATATGGGATTTAATCTACAGTGATCTTGCAGTGAGATGTCATCAGTTTCCTGTATGAAGAGATAACCAGGCTGATTTCCACTCTGGCATACAAACACGGTGCAGAAAGAGTTCTTTTATTAGTAGCGCATATGACTCTGTGTGTGTGTGTGTGTGTGTGTGCACTGTGTATTACTTTGGCTCTTTGGTTCTGGAACCAGACCTGCACAACCCGGACGCTCAGACCAGTCTCTGCTGCCAAGGTCTCCCTTACCTTGGATTAAGATTCAGGGGAAGGAGAGAGACAGAAAGGGAGGGCAAAAATTGGAAAATAGAAAAAGAGAAGAGGTCACTTGAAGGTTAAAACAAAACTGTATCGCTTCACCAAGTTGC